AAATTACTTCGCCAATGAACTCATAAGGTGAGTCGTTTTTTAAGTTGTTTACAACATTCGCGTCCGTGTTGTAAACATTACATGGGGGTACCCTTGCATGGGTTCTTATGACCCGTTCGATACCTTCCCTTTTGGAAACTAGCTGTTACTGTTCCTAATAAAGCTGTTAAAACAAAAAATACTATATTAAAATATAGTACTTGGCGTGCTCTCTTTAATGTGCAAAATTAATTTCTCTTGTCTTGGATGCGCGCGCGTTAATTAGAATCACTGTTTAATTAAATTTCAAATGACGCGAGCCATCAGATCACGACACTTTACATATATAAAAAGGCGTATGAATTGAACAAGTCACATATTATTCATCAGTAATAAATTTACGTGGTGTTTCCACAAACGGAAGTATATTATATGATGCTTGTGATGTTACTTTGAGTGTGTATCCACATCGGGTAAGCTTGAAAAATATGTCTGTCCACGGTGGGAATCGAACCTACGACCTTTGGAATACAAGCCCAATCCTCAACCAACTAAGCTACGTGGTCAGGTCGGTTCGAATATGTGATATTTCGGAACAGAATCTAGTTCCTTCGATATCAATGTAATCTAGTAATCATGATTCTTTCTGTGTTGATGTAATGTACTCAGGTGAATATGATGCTTGTGATGTTACTCTGAGTGTATATCCACACCGGGTAAGCTTGAAAAATATGCTTGCCCACGGTGAGGAATCGAACCTACGACCTTTTGAATACTAGCCCAATGCTATGCCAACTGAGCGACGCGGGCAGGTCGGTTCAAGTGATACTATATATGTGATATGTCGGAACAGAATCTAGTTCTTTCGATATCAATGTGGACCGTGCAACGTTTCCACCGTGGACAGGCATATTTTTCATGCTTATCCGGTGTGGATATACACTCAGAGTAACATCACAAGCATCATATTCACCTGAGTACATTACACCAACACAAAAAATCAGTATTATATATATTTAAACTATCGTTTTATTTGGCTCCCCTGCATGAGATCTGAGTAGAAATTATATAGCTAACGTCACACATATATATAAGTGCAAAGATACATATCTGATTATTTGGCAAAAATAGTGAATACGTTATTATTATTTTGTAAAAAGTGAGATACTGAAAATGAACAGTGAGATATTTTCCATGTCTTCACCAGGGTTTATTTTAACAAAAATTTAGAACTGCACATATTAAGGATGTTACGAAGCATCACGTGTTTGACTGGGGGGTCAAAGGGTGTTTGACTGAGGGGTCAAAGGATTTTTATCTATATTTAACATTATAAATTTATAGTTAACGTTGTAAATTATGATAGACTCTTAATTTGTACATAGGTTGTATGTAGATGGCGGAATAAAGGTATAGTTAGGTGGGGCCAGACAAACTCGATTCTGGGTGGAGGAGCTACAGGTAGTGGGTGTCCCCCAAATTTTGAATTTAGAGGCTCGTAACGTAAGTTCTGGCAAAGATTTGTTTCACCCAACCACCCACAACAACTGTTTCAAAACATGTAGGCTAACTGGGAATCATGAATACTCAATATACAATAACCTTAGGCAGCAAAGAGAGATGGGCTACAAGCCACGATTGGTTCAGTGAACTTGGGCCTACAACCACAGTTGATGATCTAACAACATCTTTTACATCACAATTTGTGCAAGCAATTGACCGTATATTTCCTCCTAAGTTGGTAAAATTCCCCATTCCGATAAACCTTGGGTAACACCAGCCATTAAAACCCTCATAAGAGATCGTCAGAAAGCATTCCATAACAGGAATAATCCCCTTTGGCTCTCACTAAGACGCAAGGTCCAATATGAAATAAGGGAAAGAAAAAAATCTTTTTATAAGAACAAAGTTCAGCACCTAAGAAACACTGACAGTCGTAGATGGTGGAAAATGGTCAACAAAATGTCCGGTAAACCTGAGAAAACAAAATCTTTCTCTTTAGCACGTAACGGGGAAACTCTGAACGACGAACAACTAGCAAGTGCCCTTAATGAATTTTACGTCTCTGCGAACGCGGATATTCCGACATTTGATGTAAATTTACTGCCCGCATTCTTACCGGCTAACGACGCCTTTTTATCCGTTCAACCTTACGAAGTCTCTCAAAAATTATTGGCTCTTCAACCTTATAAAGCAACAGGACCTGATAATGTACCAAGTCGATTTCTAGAAGATTTTGCTCACGTGCTAGCCGATCCGGTTACCACCATTTTTAATGCATCTCTTTCCTCTAGCGTCGTCCCGAGAATTTGGAAAGAATCCAATATTATCCCAATCCCGAAGGTACAACAACCCGAATGTGAAGGAGATACTAGACCAATATCGTTGACCTCTTGCCTCTCCAAACTGCTGGAAGACTATGTTGTAAGTTGGCTAATTGACGACGTCAAGGGAAAGATTGACCCCTGCCAATTTGGCTGTTTGAAAGGAACGTCGACCACCTATTGCCTCCTTGATATGCTCCACTCTTGGCTCTCGCATTTGGACTCGGACTCCAACGGTAAACACGAATGTATTAGCTTCTTAGATTTCTCGAAGGCCTTCGACCGCATTGGATACAATATATTCTCATTGAAAAACTGCTAGACCTGGGCGTTAGGCGGTCTTTAATACCCTGGATTATAAACTTTCTTTGTGATCGAAAACAACGAGTTAAAATTGGTGAATCCTTTTCCAGCTGGCTCCCAGTGACAGCCGGGGTCCCTCAAGGGACTAAACTTGGTCCAATATTGTTCCTCATTATGATTAATGATTTGAGAGTAAATTCCCCAGGCACGAAAATGTGGAAATTTGTAGACGATGTCTCATCCTCTGAAAATCTTACATCGAACAGCTTCTCGGTCACTCAGTCAACTCTTGATTCTATCGATTCATGGGCAACTTACAATTGTATGAAATTGAATGCCAATAAGTGGAAAGAGCTCCGGGTTTCCTTTCTTAAAGAAACCCCGCAGCTACCATCTTTGACAATTGATGGTTACGTGGTAGAAACGGTACAATCGCACAAAGTGCTGGGTTTAATTATTCAAAACAATCTTAAATGGGACGAGCAAATTCGATCAATCGTCACCAAGGCCTCCAAACGGTTATACGGTCTTCGCGTATTATGCCGCGGTGGAGTATGGCGCGTCATCGGTGTCAAAAATGTTATTCTAATTTAAGATAAGATTTTCATTTTCATATAACAATATAAATTTTGGATAACACACAATTGTTCATATAACGCTGTAAATTTTGGATAACACACGACTTTTCGTATAACGCTATAAATTTCGGATAACACACGACTTTTCATATAACGCTATAAATTTCGGATAACACACGACTTTTAATATAACGCTATAAATTTCGAATAACACACAACTTTTCATATAACGTTATAAATTTTGGATAACACACGATTTTTCATATAACACTTTTAATTTTGGATAACACACGATTTTTCATATAACTTTAATTATGATCCTTTGCGAGCTTACGGGCTGCTAGAGCACGTGGGCAAGGAACTTGAAATTTTTATAGTACATGCACATGTTTTTATACATCGCTGAATTTAAAATCTAAATATTTCGCAAATCCTAAATTATGACATCCTCTCGTGGAAATATTAGTGGGAACACAGCTATAGGGAACTTTTGAAAAATTGTGCTAGTAATCTTGACGAAGCGTCGCGATTGTTATTAAACGAGGAAAATGCTCAGAGTGATGGTCGGACAACCACTGTGAAGTACGCATGAGATTCAACATGACATTCAACA